AAACTGCAACAGCTTCAACCGATTTGGGAAGAAAGGGAGATTGTAACTGAAAACAAAGAGAGGAAGCAAACAATGTTCGAGTGGTTTAAACGCAAAAAGGTACGAGACCAATTCTTACAAAACAACCGTTACATTACGCCAATAGCGTAGGCAGCGCAATATATCCAGGTAATTGTTACCCTTTCTAATATGAGCATTACTTAATATAGACACCTCTCTAATGTTCGTTACCAATTGTGGAATTGTTGTGGAATGAGTTATTAGTTCCTAGAGTTCCCATGCACATTTGCATTGATTTTCCTTTCTTCATTTCCTTTCTCGACCTGCTTGGATATTAACTGTTCATTCATTTTAATTGTCAGCGTATATATTAAATGCATACAGTAACCAAATACAGCGGACGCTTTTTAGGCACAGGATATCAAGGACTCGATGCTGAGACCGATCAGAACAGAAGCAGGGCTTGGTAACCCACCATCCGAATACACGAACAACGACCCAGAAGCTGCAAACTTCATCATAAAGCATGGGCTGCACTTCAACCCAAACAAACCCCACGAGTTTATTGAAAAGGTCAAAGATATTATCTTAACACAACAAAGAAATGAAGATCGTGCGGTATTTGGAAAAGGTCCGTATCGAGTACGAGAAGGTTTCACCCATTTGTCCGTTGATGACGTAGAAAGAAGCAGTTTAAGTCACGCTCAAATGGAAAAAAGATTGGCTGATTTCAACAAAGCAAAAATGGACAGCATGCACGGTTGACGTCGTCAGTCCAACCCCTCAAGACCAAGAGGTAATTTTAATTGTTTCTTATTAACCTTATTTTGTAAATATAATTACGCAATTCAGCTTGCAGCTGCAATGTAATATTCTAACCATCCATCCATCCATCCATCCATCCATCCATCCATCCATCCATCCATCCATCCATCCATCCATCCATCCATCCATCCATCCATCCATCCATCCATCCATCCATCCATCCATCCATCCATCCATCCATCCATCCATCCATCCATCCATCCATCCATCCATCCATCCATCCATCCATCCATCCATCCATCCATCCATCCATCCATCCATCCATCCATCCATCCATCCATCCATCCATCCATCCATCCATCCATCCATCCATCCATCCATCCATCCATCCATCCATCCATCCATCCATCCATCCATCCATCCATCCATCCATCCATCCATCCATCCATCCATCCATCCATCCATCCATCCATCCATCCATCCATCCATCCATCCATCCATCCATCCACCCATCCATCCATCCATCCATCCATCCATCCATCCATCCATCCATCCATCCATCCATCCATCCATCCATCCATCCATCCATCCATCCATCCATCCATCCATCCATCCATCCATCCATCCATCCATCCATCCATCCCTCCATCCATCCATCCATCCATCCATCCATCCATCCATCCATCCATCCATCCATCCATCCATCCATCCATCCATCCATCCATCCATCCATCCATCCATCCATCCATCCATCCATCCATCCATCCATCCATCCATCCATCCATCCATCCATCCATCCATCCATCCATCCATCCATCCATCCATCCATCCATCCATCCATCAATCCATCCATCCATCCATCCATCCATCCATCCATCCATCCATCCATCCATCCATCCATCCATCTATCTATCTATTTATCTACTTAATAATCTAGGACGAACCCACGTCGCGTCTAAGTGTCACAGCTAATGAAAGCGGGATAACTACAGTACCTCAACCGATACTTGAAGCGATGTTCGAAAGGGCCTCTAACTTGTTAGCGGCGCCGGGAAAAGTTTTTCCAAAGCCTGGTGCTGACGATGGGTCACTCGTAGTGGCAGGATTACCCAACAACATACATTGTGTAAATCCTGGCAAAGGTGGTTCTCTCTCCTGCGATCGCAGCTGCATAAATTATGCGACCAAAATTTGTGAACATACACTAGCTGTCGCACAGGTGAGAGGGACATTAAGCGAGCTGCTGACGTGGTTCAAGAGAAGAAAGAAGCGGCCTGCAATGATGGAGATGGTGGAACAGAGTGGCTCTAAAACTGCAGGAAGGAAGCCGTCACAAAGAAAGCGGGCACAAAATGCTATGGGTGTGATGGGGTTATTCAAAACCCCCCGACTCGTCGCCCGGATGATTTGATCATTGTTTGCCGCGATATGCGAGAGTACAGAGACAGGTTAACTGAACAACGACAAAGAGTAACACTGTTCAGAACGTGCATTTCCACCTTTACAAAGAATGCGTGGTAAGAAGATATCCAAACTTTCACGTAGGTCTCCTGAAAATTGATGGCTTTCAAATTAATCTCCTGCAACCAGAACACCTCCAGCGTTTAGCTACCAATTTTGGTTGGAATCTCTACCGTTAACGTTTCTACACGCATGAATGCGTTTATTTCAACGATCTAAATAACATAAAGTGGCTCTGATGCAAAAATAAGTGCAACACTTTTTCAGACTGACACATTCTCAGACTGAAACTATTTAGAAAGGGTTGTTTTCCATGCACTTATTCCGCATTTTTTATTTGCACGTATCAAAGTAAATAAATGAAAAGAACTTGATCGCACGTTTTAGTATGCATTTGCTATATGCATGTTTATTCATCATAAAGTTTCAAAACGCGTTAGTAGAAAGGAACCTTACAGAGTTTCCATCATGCAGGGCTGTCGCTAGAAGCTTAATTGAATGTTTACCGTGAGTGAAAACACTGAGCTGACGATGGGACTGTTTCAAATTTTATTCCGTAGTTGTAGTTCGTTCCTGTTGAATACTATTATTGTTGTTAATTTTGAAATTGGGGAAAATTTTATATCTAAAGACCTTGTATTGCCTTTAATGTGCTAAAACAACTTTGTATTACCTTTTATAAGCTATAGAATGTGACTTTATTGCTGAATGGGGTAATATATATATATAATTACATAATAAAGAGGATTTTATATGAACGTGTTTATCAAAAATAAAGATCTGTGATTGTAGTACAAAATGCACAATTCAAGCTAATGTTGATGTAAAAATTCCGGAAATTCTCATTCCGGGTTTTAAAGATTCCGGAGATTCTCATTCCGGGTTTTAAAGATTCCGGAGATTCTCGTTCCGGGTTTTAAAGATTCCGGAGATTCTCATTCCGGGTTTTAAAGATTCCGGAGATTCTCATTCAGGGTTTTAAAGATTCCGGAGATTCTCATTCCCCGTTCCCCGTTCCTTGATTCCCCGTTCCTGGTTTTAAAGATAGCCGTGACGAATCTCGTATTGGTAGCGGGAGCCGTAGTCAAATCTAAAGCTCTATTTATGGTCTGGATGAACTTGCCAGAAATTGTGCTCATTATCGCAGTCACTTTGTCCTGTTATGTTTGTGATACAAAAAGAGTACTTTTAAAAGTCGCGTTGTTCACACTTGTGTCACAGATCATCGCGCGCTTTGTTCGTAGCAAACCTGAGTATTCCATTACTCATAGTCACAATGATTTCTCGAGACCTCATGTTATCAGACATATGGTCGCCTGTGTATCACGTGTTTCCCAACAGAGATTCGCAGCCTTCGAACGAGCGTTTGTGTCTTTGTCGACCGTATTGGAATGATCCTAGGACCGTTCATCTTCGAGATGGTTTTTCAAAGTGTAATTCTATGAAACTGTAATCATTACTGCAATAACATCGGCATTATTCATAGCAGCTGTCTTGCTACCGTGGAAAAGCTTGTGACATTTAAAGAAAGTTTTTATTAGTGATACTTACTATATAAAATGTGCTAATTTTAATTAAAACTTTTATGCCAGTGTCAAATGTTGGATATAGGCCTTTCCCGATTGTGCCAGTGAATAAGTAATTAGCTTAATAGTCCAGATTTTATTTAATAATTAGTGCGCAATTAGCAGTATGGATCATGTATAAGCCTAAAAGTTGCTTCCCGTTACCCAAAAAAGCAAAAGTTGTTCCAGGTAGCTGGAAAACAGAACAGTTATTCAAATTTTAAAAAGTTGCTTAGAAGTTGCCCAGCACAATCGGGACAGGCCTAGTGGTATAACAACCGCACCATTCCGCATGCCTCTCCTCCAACCTCATTTATAGCATCTCATGTAACAAATGTGGTTTACTATATATCGGTGAAACTGGAAGATCTCTAAGGGTAAGGTTTGGTGAACACCGTAGGTCGGTCAACAACCACGATAACACCAAGCCTGTTGCCAGACACTTTACCTCTGGTAATCATTGTGTCACGGACATGAAATTTAGAGTCCTCTGTCCCAATTCCGGTACTAACTATAGCCGTAAACGACAAGAAATGTGACTCATTCACAGTCTTGGCACTCTCCATCCCTCTGGCATAAATGAAAGATTCATTTAAGCTACTTCGCCCAGAGTAATATGACTCCCATTTCTTTGTTTATATCAAAGGTGGTTGTAATACGTTTTCGTTGCTGATCAGGCTTCCCTCATTGCGGGCTATTGTTAGCTCACAATCAGGCGTCTCCTTGGCAATGTAATGTATTCCAATTTGTTTTGATTTTTTGTTTTCTATTGGCCCATTTTTATCATGTGTTTTGCCCCCATGGCCCCATACAAAACATGTATTCTCCCCTATTTATTTTCATATTAACTCTCCTGACGAAGGCCCTCAGGTCGAAACGCCGAGAAGTGTTTTGTCTATTTTAGGCAGTTATTATACCACATTTGATGCTAAGTTGTTTGAAGACGCTGCCCCCTGGTTATATTGGCTTTTATGCCAGTTTTCAACTAGCGACATTTTTTAGCGGGTAGTCGAAATATCTGCATATATTTCCTTTTGAATCCCGGTCATTCAAGTTCAACGAATTTGTTTATGCAGGCAAAGTGACGAGACAGTATTTGATACTGCAAACTGCAAAGCTTCATCAGTGCAATGCCAATGATCATTGAATGTGATGAAAATCACTGTGATTTCCGATAAATGCATTGTAGCTGCAATTATTGGCAGGGTGTTTCATCGAGATATCCAAATGCGATCTTCGAATTCTTGAGACTAGGCTTCACTGGTCAAGCGTGTGTCTTTATTCATATCATGATCATAACAATTGTGGTCAGTACACGCGTATATGCGAAGTGACGGCAACAATATAACTTTATCTTCCACGCTAACCAAACGAATGAAAATGGAGCGACTGTGGACGAAATTTAAACAGTTTTTACCAACTATGCCGCTTTCTACAGCCCAAAGTTCATCTGAGCAAAACGTGGAAAGTGTAGACGACAAAGTCAAATACCAACTCATTTCGCATGCCGACGAGGAAGCCACAGACTTGAACGACGAACTTTTCACATCTCGCCTAATCGATGAGATTCTTGATGATATAGGATTGAGACTTGATCATTGGAAAGTGTTTGTATTGCTTTGTCTCGTAGATATTACATGTGGCCTGGGGACGACCATATTATCCGCCATACTTCCTAGTTTGAAATCAGACTGGAATATCTCTGCAATTACAGCTGGGGCTTTAACACTGTCAATACCTGTAGGAATGACTCTAGGAACAATGGTTTGGGGTTTGATGTCGGACATATACGGTAGAAAGCGTTCAATAGTTACCAGTGCGACGTTCATACTTGTTTCCGCATTGGTGAGCGCGTTTTCAACAAACTATTACTGGCTTTGGATAAGCCTTTTCTTTGTCGGCTTCGGAGCGACTATTTCATTTCAAACATATGTTATCATCGCTGAAATATTTCCTCCAAGATACCGTTCTATGTATTCAGTATTAACAGTCGTGTTCTACAATTTAGGATATCTACTTTCGGCTGTTGTTTCAATGGAGCTTTCGGTGATCGGTTATCATTGGGCTCTGGCTACCGTGTGTTTTCCGAGCGCAATTGTCCTTATCGGTAGTATTGTATTTCTCCCAGAATCACCACATTTTTATCTTGCAGCAGGAGACGAGCAGAAAGCTTTGAACATTCTTCATGATTTGGCGCCTGAAATGGATTTCAGCAACACAATACTTCGGAAACACGGTCCTGAGATACAGAGGGCAGATTTTACACAGCTATTTCGATCAGGTTATTGGAAAATCACAATATGTGCTTGTATCGTGACGTGTATCACCTACCTTTCACATGGTTATTTCATCTACACCGCGTCTGACGTGGCGGGCAGTTCATCCTCTGGTTTAAAAAACGAGGAATTATTAATCCGTCATAGGTATACCATTATGGTCTGGATGACCTTGCCAGGTATTGGGCTCATTATCGCAGCCGCTTTGTGTTGTAAAGTTTTTGATGCGAGAATAGTACTTTTATAATTACGTTGTTGACACTTGTGTCACAGATCATCGCTTTGTTCGTCGCAAACCTGAGTATTCCATTACTCATAGTCACAATGATTTCTCGAGACCTCATGTTATCAGACATTGCACTCCTAACCACGTGTGTATCCCGTGTTTATCCAACAGAGATTCGCAGCCTTGGAACGAGCGCTTGTGTCTTTGCCGGCCGCATTGGATTGATCTTTGGACCGTTCATCTTCGAGACATGGTTTTCCAAAGACCATTTCTATGGAACTGTATTCACTACTGTGATATTATCGGTATTATTTATGGCAGTTGTGTTGATGCCTTCGAAAAGCTTGTGACATTTAAAGACAGTTTTCACGAGTGATAATTAGCTACTATATATTTATTAATTATTAACTTTCATTCGTCTTCAAGTGGCGGAATTTTTTAGCGGGTATATAGTCGAAATATTGTGTTGTAAAATTTTTGATTCATTGGAGCGTTCACGTGGAGGTTCATTGTTTCGTTGAGCTCTATAAGATCATGTTTGGGCTTTGTGACATTGACAAATTTTAACATCTGGGGCCGGTTGCATGAAAGCCAGAAAGCGCTATCCACCGGATAGTGGTTTTTTTAATCGCTTAAATTTCGCCCCTTGTTTGCTATAACTTTGAATAAATCTTAGTGTTCCTAAATCAAGCATCCTCTTTAATAATTGCAGCTCCCAAATATGAAATTTTATCGCTTTTTGAGCATTTTTAGAACGCCCCCTGGGGCCGGTTGCAGAAAGCCGGATAGCGCTATCCACCGGATAGTGTTTTTTTTAAATCCCACGTTGTTTGATATAACTTTGATTAAATCTTAGTATTCCCAAGTCGAGGTTCCTCTATAATATAATTGTTAGTCCAAAGCCGAAATTTTATAGCTTTTCGAGCATGTTAAGAACGGTTGAAAAAATCACTATCCGGTGGATAGCGCTACCCGTCTTTCATACAACCGGTCCCAGGGGCCGGTTGTATGAAAGCCTGATAGCGCTATCCACCGGATGGTGGTTTTTTCAATCGCTTTAAATTCGCCCCTTGTTTGCTATAACTTTGAATAAATCTTAGTATTCCTAAATCAAGGATCCTTTTTAATAATTGCACGTCCTAAAGATGACATTTTATCGCTTTTCGAGCATTTTTAGAACGGTTAAAAAAATCACTATCCGGTGCCGGGATAGCGCTATCCGGCTGTCATACAACTGGCCTCTGGATATTGTGGTTGAATCTCGTACTTGATCTAACCATAACTTTAAGTTAAGACCTAAACATGCACGTATAAATTACTTTAAGTTCTCGTTTTTTAACCGCTATATCTTGGACTGGAACACTTTACCAGCGAAGTTTTGGAAGCTACTTCATTGTCTAGTTTTAAGGATAAACTAATGCTGTTTCTTTTTCAAAATCTGTATTCAGTATTAACTTTATTATTTTTCTTGCTGACTTTAGTTTAGTTTCCAGGAGAGCAGTTTATAAATAGGAATTTAGTTTCCTCCTACTGCTATCCCCCCTATTACTATTTCTTTGTTAATAGATATTGGGAAAGATTTATTAAATAATTAAATCATCTGCATATATTCTCTTTTGAATCAAGGTCAGTCAAGTTGAACGAATTAATTTATGCAGGCAAAATTATATGTTCGCCAGAGCGGGTGAGGGTGATTGGGAAGAAATTTAAAAATATTCTGTAAATCGTAAAGACAAGAATTTATCCGGCCCAAGATTAGGTTAGGACTATGATTAGATTGGGATTGGGATTAGGGTAACTGTAATGATGCAGCATAAATTAAATATATGCATAATTTAGCTTTGGCATCCGTTTCCTGTGGCTGAAAAATATGCCTAGAAAACGATTTTCATCAGCATGTCGTAGAACCGAAATATTTTTGTATATCTTACAATTTTCAAACATGCTGAATCCAAAGACTTCCGGCGCAATAAACCCGCAGTATTTTTGAAAAATCCGTGTATATTCTCACTCCTTCGAGAATGTTTTAACAATATTCCGCGAATTGGGCCGTAATTATGGTGATGTTTTGGGCCGTATTTATACTGATGCTTTGGGCCGTAATTATGGTGATGCTTTGGGCCGTGATTAAAGTGATGCTTCGTGCTGTAATTTTGGTGATGTTTTGCGCCATAATTATGGTGATGTTTTGGGCCGTAATTATAGTGATGCTTTGGGCCGTAATTATGGTGATGCTTTGGGCCGGGATTAAGGTGATGCTTTGTGCCGTAATTATGGTGATGCTTTGGGCTGTGATTAAGGTGATGCTTTGGGTCGTGATTACGGTGATGAGTTGGGCCGTAATTATGGTGATGCTTTGGGCCGTAATTATGGTGATGCTTTGGGCCGTGATTAAGGTGATGCTTTGGGTCGTGATTACGGTGATGATTTGGGCCGTAATTATGGTGATGCTTTGGGCCGTAGCTAATTATGGTGATTTTTCAGTTGGGCCTTAATTATGGTGATGTTTCAGTTGGGCCGTAATTATGGTGATGTTTTGGGCCGTAATTATACTGATGCTTTGGGCCGTAATTATGGTGATGCTTTGGGCCGTGATTAAGGTGATGCTTTGTGCTGTAATTATGGTGATGTTTTGGGCCGTAATTATGGTGATGTTTTGGGCCGTAATTATAGTGATGCTTTGGGCCGTGATTAAGGTGATGCTTTGGGCCGTGATTAAGGTGATGCTTTGTGCCGTAATTATGGTGATGCTTTGGGCTGTGATTAAGGTGATGCTTTGGGTCGTGATTACGGTGATGATTTGGGCCGTAATTATGGTGATGCTTTGGGCCGTGATTATGGTGATGATTTGAGCCGTAATTACGGTGATGATTTGGCCGTAATTATGGTGATGCTTTGAGCCGTGATTAAGGTGATGCTTTGGGTCGTGATTACGGTGATGATTTGGGCCGTAATTAAGGTGATGATTTGTGCTGTAATTATGGTGATGTTTCAGTTGGGCCGTAATTATGGTGATGCTTTGGGCCGTAATTATGGCGATGCTCTGGACCGTAATTATGGTGATGCTTTGGGCCGTGAATATGGTGATGCTTTCGATCGCAAATCCTATGTTGCTTTGTGATTGTGTTTTCATGAGAATGTTAGCTGCGATGCCTCTTCAACTTGGGAAGTATTAATATTCGGTAGGAGCGAAGAATTCAAATTTAAACTTGAATTTAAAATGGCGGTTGATCACCGTTAAATTGGTCGGTAGATTGACCCTGGACAATAGCGACAACATGGCGGGTAGATCGGTGTGTTCGCTTGTGGGATTTTTATCCCTGTTTTGTATATTTTTCTTTGCTTCTGGTTCGAAACAAATAATTGAGTACTTCAACACTACATGGAGAGTCGATATTTCTTCAAGCAATGTACTAGTGAAACGTGCTGAGCCTATTTTATTTCAGCATATAAATGTTTATCGGAGGCGTATAATTTCCACAAAGCCGAATTTGTCTTTCGCTATCGTTAGAAATACAAAGCGAGGAATAACTATTTTGGCTTTACCATCAAAATCATTTGAAATAGATTTAACAATCTACATGGATATTTCGCCAAATTCTGGTCCAGTCAACGAGCGTGATACACGAAGGACTTGTGCTGCGAATAAACAACAACGTCAACGGCGCCATTTGCAAATTGCCCATTTGAATGTGAGATCTATCAAGAATAGAGAACATCATATTCTTGTAAAAGATCTCATTTTAAAGAATGATTATGATATCTTAACTATTTCTGAATCGTGGCTGAATAGTACTGTACAAGATTTAGAGGTGGAAATTCCTGGCTATAATATTTATCGACTCGACCGATTGGACAAACTCGGAGGGGGCGTTTGTGCATTTGTGAGAAGTTGTTATAAGGTTGAATGCCTGAGCGATTTATCAAGGATTTCCATTACTGGTATGCATCAACTTTGGCTCAAAATACAAGTAAGAAACTGCAAATATTTTATCGTCTGTACAGTATATAGACCACCAAATACAACTACAAATTGTTTTGACGAAGATCTTAGCGAGACACTTATTTCGGCACTATCTATTAACAAAGACATATACATTCTAGGCGATATGAATTGTAATTTGTTAAAGACTGACGATATTGGCTCTCAGGCTTTGTTGAATTTTTGTTCTACTTTTAACCTTGAGCAATTAATCAAGCAACCAACCAGGATAACAGAGACTTCGAAGTCTTTGCTCGATATTATTTTGGCTACCAATACTAGCCCAATAACAAAGGCAAAAGTCATACCCTGTTCAATAAGTGACCATGACCTGGTTTATGTAGAAATTCGTTTAAAGAAGGATCGTTCTAAGCCTGTATATGTTACAACGCGAAGTTTCAAAAATTATGATCAAGCTGCTTTTGAGGAAGATATGTCTATGGTCCCTTGGTCAGTCGTCGACGTTTTCGATGATGTTGACGATAAACTGAATGCTTTCCACTTGTTATTTAACCAAATTCTGGACTTACATGCCCCTATCAAAGTCATTAAGATACGGAGTAGACCTAATCCTTTTGTTACTGATGAAATACGTTCATTAATGAAGGTGACAGATAAATGGCGAAAGCTTGCTAGAAACTCGATTGATCCTTCGGTATGGGCTAACTACAGAAACTACAAAAAGAAAGTTAAACGTGAGTTAAGACTTGCTGAACGGGAATACGTGGAACAGCAAATAAAAAATAATCCAAATAACACAGGATGTATTTGGAAGACTATAAGAGCGTGTATTCCCAAGAGATCTGGTAGCAGCAAAACGTATAGTAAAGATGATAAAACGGTAGCGAATGAATTTAATACATTTTTCGCTTCAATTGGAAAGAATACTGTGGATCAAATACAACTTTTGGCTGAGCAAAATAATTATGTCCTTAACAATCGCTCCTTTGTTCCTAGACAATACCATAAAGAACACCAATTTTCGTTTAGAGTTGTTAAATGTAAAGAAGTCGAAGACATAATTAATTCAATGCCAATAGGTAAAGCTCCCGGAATTGACAAAATAACTGTACGTGTATTACAACATTGTCTGCCTTCAGTTGTTCCTGTTCTAACGTCTATTATAAATGGTTCATTCAAGACCGGAATCTTCCCCACCATCTGGAAAATAGCTGAGGTTAGGCCTATTTTAAAGCAGGGTGACCATGAAGTGCCTGATAATAATCGTCCTATATCACTCTTACCTATATTATCGAAGGTATGTGAACGAACTGCTTTAAATCAATTCCTCCCATATCTTGAATCCAATCAGCGAATACCGGCGATGCAGAGTGGAAATAGGAAATTGCACTCCACAGAAACGTCTTTAATACATACAACAGATATCTGTTTAAATGCCATCGACAAACAGAAGGTAACTGCTGCGGTACTGTTAGACATGAGTAAAGCGTTTGATAGTTTACAACATAGGACTCTTTTGGATAAACTACAAGATGTTGGTGCATCGAGATCTGCTTTAAAGTGGTTCAATAGTTATTTGTCTAATAGGAAACAGACAGTTCGTATCAATTCTGCAGTTTCTGACCCGCAGCCTGTTGTAAGTGGTGTTCCTCAAGGCAGTATATTGGGACCCCTGTTATTTACCATATACGTCAAGGATTTGCCAACTGTCCCTCAAAACAGTTCACCCGAGTGCTATGTTGATGACACTAAGCTACTTATGTCATTTCGTGTTTCTGAATGTAATAACGCCCTCACAGCTTTGAATCAAGATCTCCTCAGCATCCGTAACTGGTGTTTTGACAACTGTTTGTTATTGAACCCAGGTAAAACGAAATTGATTATATATGGAAGTAGACAGATGACAGACAGGCTGCCAGAATATCGCCTCTCACTGTTGGGAAAAGTGTTGGTACCAGTAAACTCTGTAAAGGACCTCGGAGTAACTTTTGATAAAAACTTAACATTCAATGAACACATAGTAAAAACCGTCTCTGAATGTATGTCAGCACTTGGACAGATAAATCGGGTGAAGCACATTTTTAAAAGAGAGTTATTAGTGATGATAATTAACGCGTTAGTATTTAGTAAACTATACTATTGCTCTTCAGTTTGGTCAAATACCGCAGAATTTAATATCAAGAAGTGTCAACGTGTTCAGAATTTTGCTGCTCGTATAGTAACTAACACAAGAAAATACGATCACATAACACCAGCTTTGAAGGACTTAAAGTGGACACCTGTCAAAACTAATTTACATTTTAGAGATGCTGTAATGGCATTTAAATGCATGATGGGTTTGGTTCCTGATTACTTACACCAGAAATTTAGCACTAGGGGCAGTGTAAGTGGCCGTAAAACAAGGAATTCTGATAAATTGCATATCCCTTTGTGTAAGACCAAATCTGGACAAAGGTCATTCTCTTATAGAGTTGCCAACATATGGAACAATCTGCCATCTTCTATAAAGTCAAGTGAATGTTTAAGTAGTTTTAAAAGTAAATTAAGGAAATATCTTTTAAATGAATTTTATTGACTAGCTAACATAACATAGTAACTTAAATTTTTATCATAGTATCGTAACTTATTTATTGTAAATTTGTCACTGAAAAGCCCCTGTTGGGGAGTGTCAATAAAGTATTGTATTGTATTGTAATAGCCGCAGGTTGATCTGGAACAATCAACACAGGCTCTTCAAGAATGCTAATCCCACTAATGGGCGCTGGGCTATTGTCCGGTAATGTATTCAAAATTTCATCATTACCCTGATCGTTAACAGTTTTCGCAAGATCATCAGAGGAGCAAACAGGACTATTGTTCTGTGATTTGTTAATCACTGCAGATAAAAGCTTTTCGAGGCACAACAATTTTGATTTGAGAAGCATGTTATCATCGCTAAGTTTGCATATAATTTGATCTTGATTACGAATAGTAGATTCAAGGGTATCTTGCTTTCATGGAAGAGAATCAATTTGAATCAGCACTTCGCTATCAAACCGAGACTCCAAGGCCACAATGTCCACTTTCAAACTCTCTAGTTCTGTCACAAATGATTCATTTAAAAACTCACTCCCGTCTGGTCACTATTGCTCCCGACAATATTGTCGGGAAAAGCAAAACTTAAATATCTCAGCGAGTATTTGGGCTAAAGACCCCGAAATAACACCAAACGATAGAGCTTGAAAAGACAATTTAAATGGTATTTTCAAACCCGCATATAGTAATAAACTGCATTTGTATTATAAGTCAAAACATGAATAAAAAAAATAGGTTGCCTTGTTATCTCAAATTTACGGTGGCCCAGAGCGGCCACTGCAAAAAAATGAGGAAACGAGGCGCAGAATTTTTTTATGACGGCCCAGAAGGGTCACGGCAAAACTTTCAGGAAACATCACGGCATATATTTTGGGGGAACACAAAAAGTTTTTTAGTTAAACGTTCGTCGCAAACTATTTTTTGTCAAACCTATGGAGAAAAAAACATTCAACTGCAACATCTGTGTCAAGGCATTATGGTAAAATGCGGACTCGACTAGATTAGTAAAACACGGACTGGAATCGATAAAATTTCTTTAATTTTATAATTATTAACACAACAAGAGATTTAAAAAGTCGTATCCCAAAGTTTTGGAAAGGAAGCGTAAAGCCTTGAACATTATTCACGATGTAAAGAAACGACGAGCGACGAGCATTGCTTCAAAACGTTCCGGGCGTAAAAATCCAGCAATTAACTTTCAGAACTACGCAATTTATCATCTTATGTTATGAATTACGAGCATTCAATTCAACACAAATATAATTTGGAAGGTTTCTTCCATAAATAGAGCTAAGAGGTTAGGAAGAAACGACGGTCTGTTGTTTATGTATTGATAGATCTCTTACACGAATATATATTATGCATACCGACTTGCTATCGACATAATATATATTCGTGTAAGAGATCTATCAATACATAAACAACAGACCGTCGTTTCTTCCTAACCTCTTAGCTCTATTTATGGAAGAAACCTTCCAAATTATATTTGTGTTGAATTGAATGCTCGTAATTCATAACATAAGATGATAAATTGCGTAGATTCTGAAAGTTAATTGCTCGATTTTTTACGCCCGGAATGTTTTGAAGCAATAGGGAGGTTAAGC